GCCTGGCGACAGAGCAAGACTCCGTCTCAAAAAAAAAAAAAAAAAATCTGGAGACAACAGATGCTGGAGAGGATGTGGAGAAATAGGAACACTTTTGCACTGTTGGTGGGAGTGTCAATTAGTTCAACCATTGTGGAAGACAGTGTGGCGATTCCTCAAGGATCTAGAAATAGAAATTCCATTTGACCCAGCAATCCCATTACTGGGTATATATCCAAAGGATTATAAATTGTTCTACTATAAGGACACATGCACATGAATGTTCACTGCAGCACTGTTTACAATAGCAAAGACCTGGAACCAACCCAAATGCCCATTGATGATAGACTGGACAGAGAAAATGTGGCACATATACACCATGGAACATTATGCAGCCATCGAAAACAATGAGTTCGTGTCCTTTGTAGGGACATGGATGAACCTGGAAACCATCATTCTCAGCAAACTGACACAAGAACAGAAAATCAAATACCTCATTTTCTCACTCATAGGCGGGTGCTGAACAATGAGAGCACATGGACACAGGGAGGGGAGCACCACACACTGGGTCTGCTGGGGAAAAATAGGGGAGGGACAGCGGTGGGTGGGGAGGTGGGGAGAGAGAGTACGGGGAGAAATGCCAGATATAGGTGATGGGGAGGAAGGCAGCAAATCACACTGCCATGTGTGTACCTATGCAACAATCTTGCATGTTCTTCACATGTACCCGAAAACCTAAAATGCAATTAAAGGAAAAAAAAACAACACCCAAAGATGTAAGGGATATCTGCTATGTGTTTGGCCCTGGAGCAGATACCTCCAGTACACTTCAATGGCAAAACTATTTCTATTTAAGAAAAAAGGCGGAGGGGGGCCCGGGTGCAGTGGCTCACACCTGTAATCCCAGCACTCTGGGAGGCCAAGGCGGGTGGATCACAAGGTCAGGAATTCAAGACCAGCCTGGCCAAGATTGTGAAACCCCATCTCTAATAAAAATATAAAATTAGCCAAGTGTGGTGGTGGGCACCTGTAGCCCCAGCTACTCAGGAGGTTGACGCAGGAGAACCACTCAAACCCAAGAGGTGGAGGTTGCAGTGAACCCAGACTGTGCCACTACTCCAGACTGGGCGACAAAGCAAGATTGTGTCTCAAAAAAACAAAAACAAAAACCCACTTAAAATTTTCTTTGAAAATTACCAACTTGTAGGCAAAAGTCACTGTAGTAAGAAGACTTATCCAAACTACTGCCTACCTTGCAGTCTGTATTTCAGCAGTAAATACATTGGCGCAGCCTCTGTCACAAAATATGACTCTGCCTGCCAGCAGATTTCAGGGTTTGCCCTAACAAAGGTGACCTGCACATACGCCCTAAATGCATGAAAAAAAAAAAGAAAGAAAGAAAAGAAAAGAAAAAAGAAAAGTGACCTGCACTAATCTTGGATGCAGCATGAGTAAAACATCCTTTCCCCAAAGATTTTTAATCTTTATTTTTATACTTACCACTACCACTACACTAACAAGGACCCAAAGCTTTTTGGTTACTCAGCCAACACAAACTGGTCTCAGCAAAACAGGCCCCCAAGATCTATTTCTGAGTTCAACATATGCTAGGTTGCTTGACTGACTAGGGTAAAATTAGGTCTTTGATAAGAAGCCAACAATTCTAAAATTCATACCAAAATGAAAGCTATCATCAGCATGCTACTATAAGCATGCATGTAGAGATGATATATTCAGTTACTGAGAGTCCTCATGAAAAAATAAAAAAGAGATGATATATTCAGAAGGGAAGCTAAAAAAGACCACAGGAAAAAATCTTCCCGCATTTTAGGTAACAAAAGTCTTTAGTAAGTTTTGCATTATCAGCATGTTAGAAAACAGAAACTCAGTGAAAATGAATTGGTTGGTATTGAATTACTTATTATTTTTAGAATCTTAAAATGCCAACTATTTGAAACCCAAACTCCTTTTTTTACAATGACTAAGATAAAATGGCAGACCTGTTACAATCGGCTCCTGTTTTAGGGATCTTTGGGATCAGAAAGCTGTGTCTAGGAATTGTTTAGCACTTATCACATTTATGCCATCTTCATGGTTTAGAAAGAAGATTGGATTAGGAGGAGCTGGGGAATCCAACACACTCACTTGAAAAAATAACCAAGGCTGATATTCCGGTGGGTCAGCAGTATCAGTCTTGCGTATGAAGAGCAACACACACCATTACTACTGTGACTGTCTGCTCTTCAGTTTTTTTTTGTTTTTGTTTTTGCTCTTCAGTTTTACACTGAGCACTTAACAAGAATACTCACCGGCAGCTTTTTTGTGACAAGAAATAGCCTCTTCGTATTTGCCTGCAGCTAATAAACGGTCTGCTCGTCTGCTCTGTTGATGAGCCTAGAAGACAAACATTCCTTAGTTCCTCTGGATCATAAAACATGATTTCTTTTCAAAAGCAACTACCTTTTAAGAAGATAAAAATACTGTTTGTTGCCACGTATCAAACCATTATTACAGCTCTATCTGTAGTTGGATAAATGTAATCGGTAGAGCCTAGAACTGCAGCATCTGAAAGGAACTGGCAACTTCTTTGAGTTCTACCAATAAGCCCTCTCAAGGTTAACACCAGGCACTTAACTCCTTCAGTGACTCACATTCTTCCACTCTTTGGAGATTAACCAAAAGTTACATAGATTGTTATTCAAAATGTCTACTTTCTTGATTTTTAACAAGCTCCTTTCAAAACAAGGGCTATTTTGTAGATGCTTTCAGTAGTCTGTATAGTTTAAAAACCTATAATCAGGGCCGGGCGCGGTGGCTCATGCCTGTAATCCCAGCACTTTGTGAGGCCGAGGCGGGTGGATCACGAGGTCAAGAGATCGAGACCATCCTGGTCAACATGGTGAAACCCCGTCTCTACTAAAAATACAAAAAATTAGCTGGGCATGGTGGCGCGTGCCTGTAATCCCAGCTACTCAGGAGGCTGAGGCAGGAGAATTGCCTGAACCCAGGAGGCGGAGGTTGCGGTGAGCCGAGATCGCGCCTTTGACCTCCCGCCTGGGAAAAAAGGGCGAAACTCCCTCTCAAAAAAAAAAAAAAAAAAAAAAAAACTATAATCAGGAAATCACTCATCATGTAGTAAATCCAAGCTTCTCTTGTAATATCTCATTCTTCCAACATTAAAGTTACTATTTGTTTTTAAAATTAAAAAATTTGGACATTGTATAGTCGATGAATTCACAATACCAACATCTAATATTACAAAGATTTTTTTAAAGATATAACTCATCAAAAGAACAAAGTCAAAAAAGTCAGAAGTTCTAACAGCAAATAATGTAACTGCTCTTTAATTGCAAACGAAAATTGATTAAATAAGCAGTCACTGGCCTCCTTACACTTTAAGAATATCAAAAGAGCTTTAAAGCCAGGCCCAGTGGCTCAAGCCTATAATCCCAGCACTTTGGGAGGCTGAAGCAGGCAGATAACCAGAGGTCAGAGGTTTAAGACAAGCTGAGCCAACATGGTGAAACCCCATCTCTACTAAAAATACAAAAATTAGCCAGGCATGATGGCGGGTGCCTGTAATCCCAGCTACTCGGGAGGCTGAGGCAGCAGAACTGCTTGAACCCGGGAGGCAGAGGTTACAGGGAGGTGAGATCGCTTCATTGCTCTCCAGCTTGGGTGACAAGAGCAAAACTCCATCTCAAAAAACAAATAAATAATGAGAGAGCTTTAATATGCATTATTTCAGTTGCTTTAACTATGACTTTGCAAATGCTTTTTCCTCTCTTACATAAGGAGGCCCAAGACTGGTGGGGGTCACATAACTTCCATTAAGCTTATACAGTTAACCAACTAGGAAAAAAGCAGGCATTAGCTCAAGTTTTCTACCTCATGTAACGTTTTCCTCAATAACAAACTCACACATGATTTAGCAAAGCTTCACAGCTTCACAAAAAACTGAAAAGCACTATACACCCATGTTCGTAACAGCATTATTCACAACAGCCAAAAGGTGGAAGCAATCCACATGTCCATCAACACATGGATGGATAAATGCAGTCAGTATATACACACGGGAATATTACTGTCTTTAAAAGGAAGGTAATTCTGATACTACATCATGGATGAACTGTGAGGACATTAGACTGAATAAACTAACCCAATGATAAAAGGACAAATACTATACAAATCTATTTACTGGGGTAACTAAAGTAATCAAACTCATAAAAACAGGAAAGTTGAATGGTGGAACAACTCATCATTGAATGGGGGTGGGAGAAATGCGGAGTAGGTATTCAAATGATATGGTTTCAGTTTTTCAGGATGAAAAAAGTCTTGAGATTTGTTGTACAACAATGTGAATATGCTTAATGCTACTAAACTATTCACTTAAAAATAGTTAAGAGGGCCGGGCGCGGTGGCTCACGCCTGTAATCCCAGCACTTTGGGAGGCCGAGGCGGGTGGATCACGAAGTCAAGAGATCGAGACCATCCTGGTCAACATGGTGAAACCCCGTCTCTACTAAAACTACAAAAAATTAGCTGGGCCTGGTGGCGCGTGCCTGTAATCCCAGCTACTCAGGAGGCTGAGGCAGGAGAATTGCCTGAACCCAGGAGGCGGAGGTTGCGGTGAGCCGAGATTGCGCCATTGCACTCCAGCCTGGGTAACAAGAGCAAAACTCCGTCTCAAAAAAAAAAAAAAAAAAAAAATAGTTAAGAGGGTAAACTTTACATACACTTTTTAATGTTACTTTAAAAAGGTGAAAAGTGGGCTGAGCATGGTGGCTTACGCCTGTAATCCCAGCACTTTGGGGGGCCAAGGCAGGCAGATCACCTGAGGTCAGGAGTTTGAGACCAGCCTGGCCAACATGGAGAAACCCTGTCTTTATTGAGAAAAGAAAAAAAAAAAAAAGGTGAAAAGTGGTGGGGCGCAGTAGCTCATGCCAGTAATCTCAGCACTTTAGAAGGCCGAGACAGGCAGATAGCTTGAGCTCAGGAGTTTGAGACCAGCCTGGGCAATATAGTGAAAACCCATATCTACAAAAAATACAAAAATTAGCCGGGTGTGGCACTTGTGCCTGTAGTCCCAGATACTCAGGAGACTGAGGTGAAAGGATCACTTGAGCCTTGGAAATGGAGGCTGCACTGAGCTGTGATTGTACCACTACACTCTAGCCTGGGTGACAGAGATGGTCTCAAAAAAAAAAAAAAAAAAAAAGTTCGGTGCAGTGGCTCATGCCTGTAATCCCAGCACTTGGGAAGGCCAAGGCAGGTGGGAGTGGATCACCCGAGGTCAGGAGTTTGGGACCAGCCTGGCTAACATGGTGAAATCCTGTCTCTATAAAAATACAAAAAACTGGCCGGGTGTGGTGGCTCACGCCTGTAATCCAAGCACTTTGAAGGACAAGGCGGGCAGATCACCTGAGGTGGGGCGTTCAAGACCAGCCAGACCAGCATGGTGAATATGGTCTTTATAACAAAAAAAAAAAAAAAAAAAAATTAGCCAGGAATGATGGTGTGTGCCTGTAATCCCAGATACTCAGGAGGCTGCAGTGGGAGAATCGCTTGAACCCAGGAGGTAGGCAGAGGTTGCAGTGAGTCGAGATTGCATTATTATACTCCAGCCTGGGCAACAGAGTGAGGCTTCATCTCAAAAAAAAAAAAAAAAAAAAAGTGAAAAGCTTATCTGGTTCTGTCAGTTAGCTGAAAAATGATTTGCCTTGGATGCTTTTTAAACACATGTTCCTTTTATGCTGCATAAAAATACTTCACAGAATCACTTTTGCAATTCAGATTATAAATATTCTGGATACGTTTGCAAATCATACTCAGTATAAAACACAGGTGAAGACAAAAGTAGAAAACAGCACTTCCAGCAATGTACTGCTGTGAGCCCTTTCTATTTCTGTAAGAAACAAGCAACAATCTTAAAGATAAGATTCGTCCCTTTCAATTAGAAGATTTCAGAGACTTTTTATTCTTCAAACAGTAATTAAACTTTTCTCTAAGTCTTAACATATTCCTGGGAACAATAATAGGTTACAAGGAATAACTAGGTAGGCTGGGCACAGCGGCTCACACCTGTAATCCCAGCATTTTGGGAGGCCAAGGCGGGCAGATCACTCAAGGCCAGGAGTTCAAGACCAGCCTGGCTAACATGGTGAGACCCCATCTCAACTAAAAGTACAAAAATTAGCCAGGCGTGGTGGCACATGCCTGTAATCCCAGCTACTCGAGTGGCTGAGGCACAAGAATTGTCTGGGCGTGGGAGGTGGAGGTTGCAATGAGCTGAGATTCTGTCACTGAACTCCATCCTGGGCAACAGAGCGAGACTCTGTTTCAAAAAAAAAAAAGAAAGAAAGAAATGGCTGGGGGCTTAAAATAAAGGACAAATTTTAGCCTTGGACTGAGCAAAAAATACATTCTGAACACATGATCATTTTCCAGTACCCACAAATTATACGTATCTTTTGGGAAGAGAATGTACATGAAGAAGAAAACTAGTATGTACAAGCAGTTATGATTAATCTAATTTCTCTAATGAACATGTTTTGATTCTGTTAAAACAAGTGGTATTAAATCACTAAGACTCTAGGTTTTAATGAAAACACACATCACCTGGTTAAAATACAGATTCCAAAAGGCCGGACGTGGTAGCTCACGCCTATTATAATCCCAGCACTTTCAGAGGCTGAGGCAAGAGAATCGCTTGAACCCGAGAGGCAGGGGTTGCAGTGAGCCGAGATAGCACCAGTGCACTCCAGCCTGGGCAACAAGAGTGAAATTCCTTCTCAAAAAAAAGAAAGAAAAATAGAGCTTGAGATTCCACCCAGGTAAGGCCAAAGTTGCTGGCTGGCTCATGGATACCCTCTAAGAAGCAGGGATGAGATGCTATTTGAGGTTACTTCATTCTAACACTGTTTTCTATCTGTGTGTATCCCCGACGAGTTCAATCACTTTCTACCTTATGCTATCGATATTTATGTAGCTCCATAATTAAACTTCAAATTCTGTGATGACAGAATTGCTAATTGAATACCAAAAGAATAAAAAGTTCTCAAACAGTGAGAGCAGGTCCTCATGGCTCTCTCAAATCCCTTAAAATGTGGAGTCCAATCTCTAATCAGTCCGCCAATTTAGGAGTTAAATCTCACTATAGTTTCAGATTATTACTGAGCTCAATAAAAACACAAATCTCCTCCTAGATCGCGTACGGTATCTTTCCTAAAAAAGAAAAAGAAAAAAAAAAACCATACATCTCCTCTAGGTTACTTGGCACCACAGCAATCAAATTCCATTTTTTTAAAAGGACAGTTCCTACTACGTTCTTATTAGACACACAGCAAATGCAGCCTCTTGATCAAGCTCGACTGCCAATGTTCAAATCTCAGTTT